TCCGAAGTCCCGGGTCTCTCCCCGGAGCCAGCTTTTTTATCCCAAGGTCCGGCGAAGGCCCCCCATACGTCGACGAAGGCCAGAAGCCTCGCGCGTGTTGTTGCTCACGGCGCGAGCGCGTTCGGGCCCGAGCAGAATTAGGAGTGGGAGGAAGGACGGCTGCCGCCGAGGCCTGACCAGTTCCATGGCATGCTCTGGCGCAGGAGGCCGGCCGCGTTTCGCTTTCCTCCCGCGCGCCTGCGGCGGGGTGGGCGGCAGGGCGAGCTGCGTGCACGACTGTGCGCAGTCATGGGACGTGCTGGCGCGCCTTCGTGCGTGCACCTTTCAGGAGGGAAAAAACACACAGACACAAGTATTCGTCGATTCCCAGAAAATATGCGAAAGTATAGGAAGTGGGGGGGAAGACAGAAACCCACAAAATGAGGGAACATATGGGGAATCGTTTTATTTTTGTGTGTATATATATTCTTCAAGCTTACGCCACATCCGCCGACCCCTTGTTTTTTTTTCTGGGGCGATGCGCGCACGGGGGCGAAAAAGTTTGAATGCTCCGCGTGCCCACCGAACGGGGACGGGAAGAAACCAGCGTTTTCAGACGGGGGCCATTTGTCGAAAGACCAGAAGAAGAATTATTTCAAGCGAAACAACCCAGTTGTGTGCGCGAAGTGTTTTAAAGCGGGACGAGCGCCGCGGAGAGACCCTCCGAAACGCCCGGCGGAACCAAGTGACGAGCATTGCGACAAGGCACGGAAGTTGCGAGGAATCTGACCGCTGGGGACGGGATGGATAAGGGGGACGTGGAGGAGGGAGGATGGGGGAGCAGCCAAAGGCGGAGAAGGTGAAAAGTGAGCCAGTGGAGGGAATACGAGACAGAAAGCTGAGAGGGGAGACGGGAGGAGGGGGCGGAAGAGGAGGATGAGAAGGAGCAGGAGAACACGACGAGGACGACAATGGCGGCGACAGACTCGACGGCGTAGGCTGGGCACCTTTTTGGGGCCATCTTGGGGGCTTCGTTGACCGTTGTGGGAGCCTCTGGCGCCGTCGTCGTGAGAATCCTCTCGGGGGCCTGCGGGAGGCAGTTTGGAGGCTTCTGGGGAGCTGTTTTGGGGCAGCTTGGGGCTTTTTTTGGGCTTGTTGGGGGCCTCTTGGGGGCTTCTTGGAGCCTCTTGGAGGCCTCTTGGGGCCTCCTTGGCGCCTTTTGGGGCGGAAGGCTAGAATTTTAGGTTCGTGGTCCCCGTCTGGAGCCTTTCTTGGGCCCCTCTGTGGGCCCTCTTGGACTGTCTGAAGGCCCTCTTGAGCCGTTTTGAGGCGCTCTTGGGCCGTGTTGGGGCCCACTTGGGAGCCTCTCGGGTCGTCTTGATGCCGTCTTGGGGGCTTCTTTCGCCGTCTTGGAGCGTCGGAAGCCCGAAAAAACGCGAAGGCCAAAAACGTTGAAAAAACCAATGGAAATCGACGATTTTGGCCTCTTGGGGCCATCTTGGGAGGCGTCTTGGAAGCTTCTTGGGGCGTCTTGGAGGCATCTGGGGCCATCTGGAGGCCATCTTGACCGTCTTCGAGTGTTTTTTCGGCGACTCGGGGCCCTCTTGGACCGTCTGCAGAGCTTCTTGGGAGCCTCTTCGCTCGTTTGCGGCCCCCCCAGCAGACTCTCTGGAGCGGATGACCCCCCCCGGACCGCGCCGGCGGATCCCGGGGAATCCGGCCGGACCCCCCCCCCCCCCCCTCCAAAACGACCGGACCAGGCTCCGGGGGGAGGGGTTTGGGGAGGGGGGAAGCATCTCACACGCCGATGACCCCAAGGGGTCGGCGGATATATATGTATATATATATATCGATGTGTGTGTGTGTTTTTGTGGGCCCCTTCAACCTTGTGCTGCACCAGCTTCTTTGTGGGGGCGGTGTGGAGCAATCGCGTCCCCTGGGGATGTTGCGTTTGCGCATGACCCCGCTCCGCGGTCTTGTGCCAGACCACCTTGGTTGTGGGGGCGGTGTCCAAGTCTCGCGTCCCCAGCGAGATACTTCGTAGTCCATTTCCCCCGTGTTCGTCCCTTGTGTGGTAGTTTTTCGTTGGAGGGCCAAGTCTAACTGCTTCTAGAAGACCAACATCTGATGCCAAATTCTACTCTCATTTTCTAGCCTAGAGCGTTTACGGTCACATTGAGTGCCGTTACGTTTATAGCGTACGTTTTCGTGGTGGATGCGTCCATGAACAGCGCGGCCGTTGCGGTCGGCGCAGTGCCGTTTGAGTCAACGGTAGGGCAGAGTCGTCTGAGTCAACGGCACGTTCTTGTTCTAGTCGGGATCCCGCAAAGGGGGGTTGTGCCCCTGTGTGTGTGTGTGAGTTTGGTCGCTTTGACACGGGACCGCCCAAAACAGATGCCCCCCCCCGCCGGCGTTTCTCCGCCTGCCTCCGCCGCGTCGTTGCGCGCGGGCCCCCCACGCCAAGAGGTGTGCTCGTGCGTACGCCCTCCGTCTTCCCTCCTCTTCCCATCCTCCGCGTCCTGCCCCTTCTCCCTTCTTCTCCCATCCGCCCTCTCGAGGACATCCCCCTCTGACCCTCTTCTGCCCTCTTTTGTGTCTTGACTCCTGCAAAGCGGTCGAGGGCATTCAGGTAATCTGTAGAGTACGGTCTTGCACATCGGCCTGCGTATTGGCCTCTGCAGTATACATGTGCATTGTCTTGGAAGGCGAGCTCATCTGAGCCGACTCCGAGGACCAATAGTTGTAACATTGCCAAGTTCGAAGATGGCAGCTCGAGGGAAGTTTGATTTGAGAAGAGTGGGAGTCACGCATGTTTTGCCTCGGCTTGCTTATGACCCAAAGCTTGATCCGAAGGAGGGCATGCACAGGCACTGTGGTGCTAGAATGACGCACTTGGGAGGTTCACGCCAGCATCGGTTCTGGCAGATATGCATCGTGGCCTAATCTGGCATCCTCCCGCTTGATCCCGCCTGATCTGGCTGCACTCGTGGCTCCATCCGGCCGGATCTGGACTGGTGGCCATTCACTCTGGCCAGATAGCCCCCTTATCAGTTCTCACGCCGATGTTCCAGGAGTTGCCTCCTGGCGTGATGGTCCGCGCGCCCAGCTGGCCTCTGAGGCCACCACGTAGGGTTCCTTCCGATCCTGTCGATCCGATTTGAAATCAAGCCCGATCGCTTCGAAATCAAATCCGACCGAGATCGAATCCAAGTCAGGTCCAATCCTTCCTGTCGATCCGAGTCGAAATCAAATCTGGCCTGCTCGATCCGATCCGATGCTCGCACTCCGACGATCCGGCGTGGGCCGATGCCTGCACGTCGCTCGCTGGTGCGCATCCTGGCGAGGCCGTTCCGATGCGGTTTAACGTCCGTTGCGGTGCGGCCCGCTTTCGATGCGCGGAGCTTGGGCAGGGAGGCGCTGCCCGTCAGGCGGCACCTGGGTCAGCAGGATAGAAAAGGATACGAATATTGGAGAGGATGCCCTCGCGGCGGGCTGCGCTGCCTCGCGCGGCGCGTTCGATTGCGCTGCCGCGCCCGCGGCCGGCCGTTGAGGCTTCGAAGCCGACGTTTGCCGTCGGGCCCCTCTTCTCCGCCACCAGCGCAGCCGCGCGCTGCGGCCTCCAGGGGAGAGCGCTGGGGCCGCCTGGGGCCTTCCCGCGGTTGCAGCACAGTCTGCGCCAGTATCCTCATCAAGTTCATTCCGAACGGGCCCTGCTTGGAGGGATATGTATAGGCATGTGGGGCCCGGGGTGGATGCCCTCGGGGAGGTCCACAGAAGTCGTTGAACGAGCAAGAGGTAGAGGGAGAATGCGGAGGTGGAGAAGGAGGAGCAGGAGGAGGAAGAGGTGGAGGGAGGAGCAGAAGACGAGAATAAGGATGGGAAGGAAGAGGACGACGGTGGAGGAAGAGAGGATGAGGAAGAGTGGATGCCGAGAAGGATAAGGAGGAGGAGGAGGAGGAGGAAGAGGAAGCGGGAGGAAAGGATGATGTTGATGCTGCTGATGATGATGAACATGAGGATGATGATCATGATGGTCACGACGATCATGATGGAGCAGAAGATAAAGATGAACATGATGTTGTTGATGATGATGATGGTGATGATTATGATGATGATGGTCATGCTGAGTACTATGGTGCTGATTGTGCTAGTGATGACGATTATGGCGGTGGTGATGGTGATGTTGATTGTGTTATTGTTGATGATGCTGATGATGATGATGATGACGATGACGATGATGATGATGATGATGATGATGATGATGATGATGATGATGAGCATGATGATGATGGTGATGGTGATGGTTATGATGATGATTATTATTAGTACTATGGTGCTGATGATGCGTATGACGCTGATGATGATGACGATGACGATGATGATGATGAGGATGATGGTGATGATGATGATGATGATGATGGTTATGGTCATGATGGTGCTGATGATCATGATGATGCTGATGATGCTGATGATGATGATGCTCGTGGTGAGGATGATGATGATGATGATGATGATGATGATGATGATGATGATGATGATGATGATGATGATGATGATGATGATGATGATGATGATGATGCTGCTGATGATGATGATGATGATGATGATGATGATGAGGCGGTTGTGATGTTGGTGGTTGTGATGGTTATCTTGTTAGTGATGATGAAGCTGACATGCTGATGATGATGGAGGGAAGATGGAGGTGGAGGAAGAGTGGGGGAGGAGAAGGAGGAGGATGAAGAGGAGGAGGAGGAGGCAGATGAGAAGGACGAGGACGAGGAGGAAAGGGAGGAGGAGGAGGAGGAGGAGGAGGAGAGGGAGGAGGAGGAGGAGGGAGGGGGAAGAGCAGGAGGAGGAGGAGGAAGAGGAGGAGGTGGAGGGGGAGGAGGAGGAGGGGAGGAGGAGGAGGAGGAGGAGGAGGAGGAGGGGGAGGCGGAGGAGGAGAAGGAGGATTCAGGAGGCCTTGAAGGCACCACCAGAACTGACGACGCCAGACCGACGAGACCAGCCCGCACGGCCAGGCGGCCGGAGCCCCGAGACGGTGGCCAGCGAGGGCGCCCCCTGCGCCGGCGGGCGACGAGGCGCCCGCTTGGGGGTGGGGGGGCACCGCCTCCACCTCGTCGCCCTCCTCCCTCCTGGTCCTCTCCCCTCGTCCGCTTCCTCCCTCCTCCTCTTCCTCCCTCGTCGTCCTCCACCCTCCTGGTCCTCTCCCCTCGTCCGCTTCCTACCTCGTCCTCTTCCTCCCTCGTCGTCCTCCACCTTCCTGGTCTTCTCCCCTCGTCCGCTTCCTCCCTCGTCCTCTTCCTCCCTCTTCGTCCTCCACCCTCTTGGTCTGCTTCCCTCGTGCTCCTCCTCCTCCCCACAGGGTGCAGCTCCCTGGACGCAGAATGCGGCGTCGGCGCTGGCAGTTCTGTAGCCAAACACTCCCGCACGATCCTGCTGAGTCCTGTCTGCTCCCGCGCCATCTTGCATGATCTAGGGCTTCATGCAGCCCTTTGGCCCAGCGGCTTCGCAAAGGGCTTACGCAGTAGATTTCTAGCATTCTTACGCAGACCTCTCATGAGTTGCCTCCTATCCCCTAGACTCCTCCTCCTCCTCCATGCTCCTGCCTGCAATGGTTTCCTGGGGGGGGCAGAAGAACAGTGGGCGAGAAGAAGATGAGGAGAAGGTGAGGAGGGGAAGAAGGATTGAGTTTTTAGTGTTGTTGATCCCCTCCTCCTCGTCCTCCTCCTCCTCCCTCATTCCGCTCCGCGTGCGGAAGGACGAGGTGTATCGAAAGCAAACCACTCAAAGCACACGTGTCTCCGCTAGTGTCCGATATCACCGCACGACATTAGTTATTGAAAGCAGTATGGAGCCTTCTGCAAATTCGAGGAGAAGCTAGGATGAGGATGGGGACGATGGAGTTTTCGGAACGTTCGTTTTGCTATGTTTGGAGCCTTCGACGCCTCCGCAGCTTCCGCACACCTCCGGAGACCTCTGGGACCCGCTGAACCTTCGCAAACCCTTGGATCTCGATCCTCTCTCCTTCCCCACCTCCTCCCTCCTGAGCCTCCTCCCCCTCTTCTCCTGGATGTGTTGGGGGAGCGGCGCTCACCCCGCTGCGGTCCTCACGATCGCACACTCTGGATCTCACCCACCTTCGCAAGAGCACGCGCTTCCGCTGAGATATGGGTGAGCTCGGATGGAAGAGCAGTGGCAAGAGAACGAGGATGAGGCTTTGGAAGAAGACGAGAATCATGCGAAGGAGAACAATGATGTGAGTAAGTCCTGTGGGTTGGAGGAGGATTTGGACGCGACGGAGGAAGAGGATACTGAAGGACAGTAAAGAGGCAAACAAGATGATGAGAGAGAGCTGATGAGGATGATGACAGGTGAGTGCGACAACTCAGAGGCAACTTCTTCACGCTTCGTGTATCCCCACCTGCCCATTCAGAAACGTCGTTCATGAGAGCTGACGTGAGACGGGAGGAAGAGACATAGAGTAACGAAGCGGGCAAGGATAGGAGTAGGAGGAGGGTCAGAGGAGGAGGAGGAAGAGGAGGAGGATAACGACAACACGACCTCTTTGAGCCATCTTGGGATCTTCTCGGGGCACTCTTGGAGTCCTCTTGGGGTTTGCTGTGGGTCCTCTTGGGGCCCCATTGGGGCTTTCTTGGAACGCTCCCGCGCCCCGAGGAATATGTTAGGATGCCTTGGGGCCCTCTTGGGGCGTTCTTTGGGCTCTCTGGGGGCCATCTTGTGGGGCTTCGGTTCAAGGAGTGCAGGGCCATCAAAAGCACCTCTTGGGGCGCGCTTGGGCTGATCTTGGGCTCTCTTGGGACAGTTTTGGTGGCCTCTTCGGCCCCTCTAGGGGCTCTCTGGGGCCATCCTGAGGTTTCCGAAGCTCATCGGATGCGAAAAGGCGAGAATGAACAACTACTTGTTTTTCCTGAGGTGTTTGAAGGGTCTGGACATTTCCAGAGGATCCTGGGGAATGACATGATCAGAGGATCATTGCTTTGAACCCTCTTGTGGCCCTCGCCGGGCCTCTTGGAGGTGTGTGAGGCCATCTTGTAGCATTGGACGCCTCTTGGAGCCATGCTAGGTCAACTTGGGCGCCCTGACCGTTCGCGAACCCCCGCAAACAACCTCAGGGCGGGGTGGTGGAGGGTAACCTTCCCCGACGGGAAGAGGGTTTTGGAAGAGGAAGGAACATTCGTTAGACCACCTACGCCCAGAGGTGTTTCTTTTTTCCGAGGACGGTTGTTTCTTGGCAGACCATTGTTCAGGAGTGCAGTTCTTCATTCAAAACAGTTGTTACTGTGTTCCACCTGTTGGGGACGCGTGTCCGTGTCCTTTGGAAGGTTTTTGCAAACTCCCTTGGGAGAAGCAAACAGTCCATGGTTGATGTGTGGTCTTGCACCTCGATGGGTGGGAACATGACTGGCGACCGTGGAAGGGACGGTTCCCCCAGAACTGCACCACCTGCGATGACGACATAGCACGCGCACGCATACCACACCGTTTGCGCAACTTAATGCCGAAGGCGTGCTAGCCAACACGGTGTCTTAAGTAGCGCACCTGTTCGTCCATGTAATCATGCGAACCATGCTTTGTTGCGATTCAGGAAGTCGTGCCGTGTTTTGTTACCAGTGGTACAGCAGACATTGTCGCGGAGTCGCCATCGCCATCAGCACGTTTGTCCACGCGATTGTATCCACCGCGCGAGACCATCCTCCGATGTTGCGATGCCCCGCTGGAGGTCGGCGTTCCCACCCCACACGCAGTACATGTGTTCGAGCGCTGGGAAGTCAGGCCCACTGCAGTTGTCGCAGATGGTCGGAGGGGTTCCCTGTTGCCAGACATGCTGTCCGTACAAAGCTATGCCTCGGGAAGGGGTATGTCCGTCTTTCCCTGGAAAAGGTTTGTTCTTGGAACACTAATCCTGGAATGGACCTCCAATTTTCCAGAACAGAGTTCCCCGGGGTAACCACATTTCTGGAAGGGCGTTTTTTTTTCTCACGGCTTCATTGTTTATTATGATAATAGGTTTTCCTCTCGGGGAAAGCTATTGGACGAGGTTAGTTACTTTCGAAAAAGTACAACGGCCAGGTATTCATTCCGACGAGAGGCAATTGGTAGACGAGATGTGCTCCATGCTCGGGAAGCTGGACGGCCATGTTGGGGATGCTCGAAGTGATAGATTTGTTGACCACCGACACCGGCGCTCCTGATTCCGCTGACTACAGGCTACACCGCTATGTCTTGACCGCATTTCCACTCGCTCCCTACCTCAGCTCTTCCCTTCTCCTTTCCCCGTCTTCCCCCCTCCCTCATCTGTCCCTCAGCTCTTCCCTCGCCTCATCCCTCAGCCTCCTTCCCCCCTACCTCTTCCCCCTCCCTCCCTACCTCCCTCTTCCTCATCTTCCGCCTCCCCACTCCACTCGCTCCCTCCCTCAGCCTGCCCTCACCTCTCCCCGACCCCCCGTTCCTTGGCCCCCCCCCCGCCTCCCCCCCTCCCCCACCCCGACTTCCTCCTCCCTGTGTGAACTTCGAGCTTGGAGCTCAGGAGGACGCCAGCGTGTCACCTCCACAGATGTGGCAGATCCTGGCCGGGCCAGTCTTGGCCTCGGGATCGGTGTGTACGCCCTCGGGGCCTGGCGTTAGGTCGGCATGTCCCTCTACAGGAGGAATATTCAAGACTAGTCAGACATTAGTCTGGGACTCTTTTTTCGTGCACTTTGAATTATCCGTGAGAGCTTCGCCCCCTGCCGCCGGCCCCCTCTCTCGGATGATGGGCTATACAAGAGCTGAATCATGAGTGCCGCCGTGAAGCAGCATCTGCAAGAGAAATTGAGATTATGATGATATTGTTGATCTCAGTGTTGCATTTTGAACCTGCCCCCGTATGCTGTGCACTCAGGTTTCCCACAGAATTTCAGACAAGTGGCAAATCCCATTGGTGTTTCGTCCCTGACCCTGCTGATCTGCGTGAGGGGTGCCACCGAATTTTGGAAACGTGGCAAATCTCATAAGTTTTTTGACCCTGACCCCGCCGATCTGCGTGAGGGGTGCCGCCGAATTTCAGAAATAGGGCAAATCTGATTGGTTTGTCGACCCTGACCCCGCCGATCTGCGCGAGGGGTGCCGCCGACTTGCAGGAATGGTGCAAATCACGTTGGTTTTTTGACCCTGACCCCGCCGATCTGCGCGAGGGCTGCCGCCGAAGTCCAGGAATGGTGCAAATCCGATTGGTTTTTCGACCCTGACCCTGCCGATCTGCGTGAGGGGTGCCACCGAATCTAGGAAATTATTTAAATCCCCTTGGTTTTGCGACCCTGACCCTGCCGATCTGCGTGAGGGGTGCCGCCGAATTTGAAACATAGGGCAAATCCCATTGGTTTTTCGACCCTGACCCCGCCGATCTGCGTGAGGGGTGCCGCTGAATTTTAGAGTTCGCCGATCTGCGTGAGTGGTGCCGCCGAATTTCAGAATTGTGGCAAATCCTAGTTATGTTTCGACCCTTACCCCGCCGATCTGCGTGAGGGGTGCCACCGAATTTTGGAAATGTGGCACATCCCATTTGTTTTTCGACCCTGACCCTGCCGATCTGCGTGAGGGGTGCTGCCAAATTTGAAAAATGCTGCAAATCCAATTGGTTCGACCCTGACCCCGCCGACTAGTTTTTCGACCCTGACCCCGCCGATCTGTGTGAGGGGTGCCGCCGAATTTCAGACATGTGGAACATCCAGTTGGTTTTTCGATCCTGATTACGCCGATCTGCGTGAGGGGTGCCGCTGGATGTCAGAAATGTTGCCAATTCATTGGTTTCCCGACCCTGACCCCGCCGATCTGCGTGAGGGCTGCCGCAGAATTTTGCCGAATTTCAGGAATGGTGCAAATCCAATTTGTTTTTCGACCCTCCTCGTGAGGGGTGCCGCCGAAGTCCAGGAATGTTGCAAATCCCATTGGTTTTTCGACCGTGATCCCGCCGATCTGCGTGAGGGGTGCCGCCGGATTTCAGAAATGTTGCAAATTCATTGGTTTTCCGACCCTGACCCCGCCGATCTGCGTGGGGGGTGTTAATTTCGACGCTTTCGACCCCCCTCAGAAATTCTGAGAACCCTCACATGAGATGCTAGGTTTGCTGGTTTTCGGCTCCCCCCCTCGCGCGGTCAGTCTACAACAAGGAACCGTAAGCATCATAAAGCAATACTGAAACAGTGGAAACTTGAAACTGGAACTGGAGCAGGGGACAGCAGATTCTCAGCCTACAGTCTGTTGACCCCACATGGGGGCTGGCTGATTTCCCAACCATCCTGTGGTGCTGGGTCCTCGTTTTGAAAAGTCGGCGCCCCGCGTTCTCCTCCCCCCGCCTCCGTCCGTCCTCCTCCTCCTCCCCCTCCATCCTCCGTCCTCCTCATCATCACCATCACCATCATCATCCCACGCATCCGTGCCATCCATTCCGGCACACCCCTCACACGGTTCGTGGCCCTATAGGGAGCTCCCCCGAAGGCCCCAGTGGCAGGGTTTACATGCGTCCCCGCGGCTGATTTCGGCACACCCGTCACGGGAGCTCCACCGAAGGCCCCAGTGGCAAGCTTTACATGCGTCCCGCGACTCATCTCGTCACACTCCTCACACGATTCGTGGCCCTACAGAGAGCTCCACCGACGGCCCCAGAGGCAGGGTTTACATGCGTCCCCGCGTATCATTTCGGTACACCCTTCACACTGTTCGTGGCCTCATGGGAGCTCCACCGAAGGCCTCAGTTGCAGGGTTTACATGCGTCCCCGCGACTCATTTCGGCGCACCCCTCACACGGTTCGTGGCCCCGTAGGGAGCGCCACCGAAGACGATATTCATAATTGCGGTGTTCACAGTTGCAGGTGGTGGGGTCCTTCGCCAGGCTAATGTTGAGCTGCTGTTTGACCATGTCCAAGATTGTCGTACAACACCCCCCTGAAGGAGGACATGCCCGACCTAAGCCTAGCGCGAGCCAGCTCCACCCGATGCTGGGCCTCGGATGGGCCTTGCCAGGCACAGGTTGAAATTGGGACGTCAGAGCCGCCGCCCGACAGCTCTCGGACACTTCCCTGCTCGTGAACTTGGAAATTGCTAGATACACCCTAGGCGATGCTTCAGAAAACTTAAGTTTTCGGCCAGAGTCTCGATTATTCTTAATGTTTCAATGTAAATCCTGAGCTTTTCATAGACATCCGGTGTTTTTTTGTCAAATTCTGAGACTATGAATTTCTTAACCCATGATTTCTGAAGCGTTTCGCTGGGTGTGGAGGGGATGAGACGGGTTGCGCTCTTCCCGTGCTTCTCGGACACGGCGAGGGGCCCCTGAGGGCCCACGCTCCTGCACCCCGTCGTTCGTCCCGCCTCCAGTGCCCGGGAACGCCCCCCTCATCACTCCCTTCCTTCCCCTCCTGCCCCGCGGCCCCTCCCGCTCCCGCTCAGGCGACGGCGCTGACTTCGGCCTCTCGCGGGGCGCGTAGTCGCGCGGCCCAGCTCGGCGTCGCGCGAGGCCTCGGCCGAAGTCGAGGCGCACGACCCTATAGGATGCCGGGGAGGGCGCCGCGGGTTGCGCGGGCGCGGGGCGCCGCGGGGCGCCGCGGTGCGCCGGCCCCGTGCCGCGCGGGGGGCGGCGGCAGGGCGCCCAGGCTGCTCGGGCGCGGGGCCGCGGTGCGACTGCCCCGCGCCGCGCTCGGGGCGGCGCCGCGCGAGCGCCAGCGCAAAGTCGGCATCGGAGGGGCAGGCGGCAGCGGAGGCGCCTGGGAGGGGGCGGGGACCCGGGGCCATCCAGCGCCGATCCGAGAAATCCGCGCGGACCTCCGAGTTTTTATGTGTACGTCACTTTTTTGTTCCCCTGCTATTCCCCCTACCTGAGCATCGTCTAACCGATCCCCATCCCCAGCGGCGTGGCCGGGGCCCCACTGGCCGATTTGCCCCCCTTAAGATGGGAATATGGGCCGGTCACCCGCTGGGGAGACCCTTGGCACCGCCCCCGTCGCGCCGCACACGTGCACCCTTTGTCCGTCGGTCTCGAGGCAGAGTCATTAGGCTGCGCCGGCGAGGAGCTGCGCGGGGGTGCCGTGGAGAGCGAATGGGCCAGCGTGCACGAGGGGGGAGCGGGCGGCACTCTTTGTTTACCAGCGCGGAGAAAGCCCAGTGGCGGAGGAGGGGGGGGGGAGGAAGGAAGGGGGGGGCGGCGGGCGCGCGGCCCGCGCCCGCGCCAGCGGCGGCGCCGCCAACTCAACTGATGAGCCTGGCGCCTCGGGCGCGCCAGGGCGCGCGGCGAGCCGCGCCCGAAGCGCCGCCCGCCAGTCGCTTGGCATCGCTCGGACGTGGGCGTTTTTTCATCGGCGAGGACCATCGAGGAGCATCCTTGATCGGCGAGGACCATCGGCGTTTTTTCATCGGCGAGGACCATGGCGAAAAAACCACGCAGGAAATCAAAAAAGCACAGGGTATGGACGTCCGAGCGATGGCCAGGTCGGCCTCGGCGCCACCGGGCGGCACACGTACGCACGCAAGCGCGTGCGCGTTTCGCCACCAGCGGTCGGGCCACTCGGCCATCCTGGCCCGTGCGGGCCTGAGCTCGCCGAGTCTCGCACCGCGCCTTGCGGAGCGCGCGTGGGCGTCGGTCGAGAGACTGAGCGCCAGGCTGTGCTCGGTGGGCCCCGGAAACGGCAGGGCCGTTTTTTCACCGTTTCCGAAACAGTGCCTCTTGAGAATGAAAACGGCAAAAGAACGGCGACCGGAAACGGCAACAAAAACGGCTCCAGGATTGGAACCAGAGCGGGAACCCGTAAACGAACGACGACGGAACCGGTAAAAGAAATGGCGTCGGAACCGGAAACAAAAACGGCAAAACGGAACAGATAGAAAAACGGCCCTGTCGTTGCCAGGGCGCACTAAGAGGCTGTGCCATATAATGAACGTGGTGTTGACGGGCCTGAAGGCGGTTGCAAGGGAACCAAGCGAATTAACCAGGGAGAGTGCCTGCACCAGTCCCCACCCCGACTGGGCCAGCCAGCCAGCCGACAGGGAAAGGGGTTCGGCCAGCATAGAGCTTGGGTATGCCAGACGCTGACGTTCAGGTCGTCGGGCCGCCTGACACGCTGGGCGGGGCTGCAGCCCCACGTGACAACAAATTCCGTCCCAAGCCCCAGCATGAGTGCAAAAGAGAGAGACAGAGACTCGTGAGACGCGGTGCAATCCCGTTGAGCAGCAAAACCGGCTAGTCCAGCAGGCTGTAGACATCGTGTCGAGGCGACATACGGAGAGGAGCCCAGGTATGGCTTTGCAGGCTCGGCAGATGACCCCTTCCACCCTGCGTCAAGAGTGGGAGGGACAGGGGATGAGGGACTGGAGGGTGGAGCCGTTCGTTGAGGCCTGCGTGTGCGATTCTTCCCCGCAGGGATCCAAGCCACCTTGCATCTTGTCCAAGCACCCTGCAGGGCCCAGCACAGTCCATGGTGATCGTTCTTTTTCCCGGCGGAGCCGGGTGAAATTCCGTGCCCGCCGGCTGACTGATGACTGACTGAACGTCAGGGGACAGCTCGGGAGACACATTTCAAACCGCCCGCGGGAGCGCAACCCGGCGGCGCAACCGCAACCGCGACCGGGCGACACATTTCAAAGCGCCCGCGGGAGCGCGCAACCGCAACCGCAACCGCAACTGGGCGACACATTTCAAAGCGCCCGCGGGCGCGCAACCGCAACCGCAACCGGGCGACACATTTCAAAGCGCCCGCGGGAGCGCGCAACCGCAACCGTAACCGCAAGCGGGCGACACATTTCAAAGCGCCCGCGGGCGCGCAACCGCAACACAACAACCGCAACCGCACGACACATTGCAAAGCGCCCGCGGGAGCGCGCAACCGCAACCGCAACCGCAACCGGGCGACACATTTCAAAGCGCCCGCGGGCGCGCAACCGCAACCCAACCGGGCGACACGTTTCAAAGCGCCCGCGGGAGCCGCAACCGCAACCACAACCGCAACCGGGCGACACATTTCAAAAGCGCCTCTGCGGCGCGCAACCGCAACCGAAACCGGCGGCGACCACATTTCAAAAGCGCCCGGGAACGCGCAACCCAACCGCAACCGCAACCCGGGCGACACATTTCAAAGCGCCCGCGGGAGCGCGCAACCGCAACCGCAACCGGACGACACATTTCAAAGCACCCGCGGCCGCGCAACCGCAACCGCAACCGGGCGACACATTTCAAAGCGCCCGCGGGAGCGCGCAACCGCAACCGCAACCGCAACTGGGCGACACATTTCAAAGCGCCCGCGGGCGTGCAACCGCAACCGCAACCGGACGACACATTTCAAAGCACCCGCGGCCGCGCATCCGCAACCGCAACCCGGCGAGACATTTCAAAGCGCCCGCGGGAGCGCGCAACCGCAACCGCAACCACAACCGGGCGTCACATTTCAAAGCGCCCACGGGCGCGCAACCGCAACCGCAACCGGGCGGCACATTTCAAAGCGCCCGCGGGCGCGCAACCGCAACCGCAACCGGGCGACACATTTCAAAGCGCCCGCGGAGCGCGCATACCCGCAACCGCAACCACAACCGGTGCGTCACAGTCAAAGCGCCCACGGCGCGCAACCGCAACCGCCCCGGCGGCACATTTCAAAGCGTCCCGAACGGCTCGCAACCGCAACCGCAACCGAGCGACACATTTCAAAGCGCCCGCGGGCGCGCAACCGCAACCGCAACCGGGCGACACATTTCAAAGCGCCCGCGGGAGCGCGCAACCGCAACCGCAACCGCAACCGGGCGACACATTTCAAAGCGCCCGCGGGCGCAACCGCAACCGCGACCGGGCGACAAATTTCAACCCGCCCGCGGGAGGGCGCAACCGCAACCGCAACCGGGCGACACATTTCAAAGCGCCCGCGGGCGCAACTCCAACCGCAAGCGAGCGACACATTTCACCCCGCCCGCGGGAGGGCGCAACCGCAACCGCAACCGCAACCGGGCGACACATTTCAAAGCGCCCGCGGGCGCAACCGCAACCGAGACCGGGCGACACATTTCAGTCCGCCCGCGGGAGGGCGCAACCGCAACCGCAACCGGGCGACACATTTCAAAGCGCCCGCGGGCGCAACCGCAACCGCAACCGGGCGGCACATTTCACCCCGCCCGCGGGAGGGCGCAACCGCAACCGCAACCGCAACCGGGCGACACATTTCAACCCGCCCGCGGGAGGGCGCAACCGCAACCGCAACCGGGCGACACATTTCAAAGCGCCCGCGGGAGGGCGCACCCGCAGGGTTTCAAGGGGGTCGATTGCGCGTGCACTTGTGCGTAAGCTGCCCGCGGAATGTGGCGCGTAGGCGCCTTAATGCGGTCTGCCGCGCGAGCGGCTTGCGTGATCCACCGCGCAAGGTCGTCGCGCAATCGAGTGCAACCCCCCTTCTGATCGTTTCTCCCTGGGGGGTCAGGCGAGTGGAATTGCCTCAGCCAGATCTCGGCCACGCTCGTGGGACTGCCCCCCGCAGGGTTTCAAGGGGGTCGATTGCGCGGGCACTCGCGCGCATGCCGCCCTCGTAAGGTCGCGCGTAGGCGCTGTTACGGTGACGCGGTCTGCCGCGCGAGCGGCCTGCGTGAGCCACCGCGCAAGGTCGTCGCGCATTCGAGTGCAACCCCCCTTCTGATCGTTTCTCCCGGGGGGGTTCAGGCGAGTGGAGTTGCCTCAGCCACATTTCGGCCACGCTCGTGGGACTGCCCCCCGCAGGGTTTCAAGGGGGTCGATTGCGCGGGCACTCGCGCGTATGCCGCCTTCGTAAGGTCGCGCGTAGGCGCTGTTACGGTGCTGCCGCGCAAGCGGCCTGCGTGAGCCACCGCGCGAGGGGAGGAAGGGGGGAGAAGGAGAAGGAGGAGGAGGAGGGGGAGGAGAGGGACGAGGGGGAGGAGGGGGAGGGGGGGGGACGGGGGAGGAGGGGGGAGGAGGAGGGGAGGAGGGCTAGGGCGAGTGCGAGGACGAGGATGGCGAGGAGGAGCGAAGTGGAGGGGGAGGAGGAGGAGGATGGTGAGGAGGGGGAGGAGGACAATGAGGAGGAGACGGATGCCGAGGAGGAGGAGGAGGAGGAGGAGGAGGAAGAGGAGGAGGAGGAGGAGGACAATGAGGGGGTGGAAATGGATGCCGAGGAGGAGGGGGACGACGACGACGACGACGACGACGACGACCAGGACGACGACGACGACGAGGGCGAGGAGGAAGACTGAGCAACAGCAGGGGGATGGGCTGGGGGGGGGCAGGGGGCGGGGGACGACAAGGAGAAGAAGGAGGAGCCACTGGCGGAGGGCCCGACGACGAGCCCCCGCGTGGCCCGCGGCTCTCCGCCGGGACATTGCAGCGGGGAATCCCTATTCCACGCTGCTGCCTTGATCGATCGTAACCCCCTCTGACGGTATATCTCCGATGCCTGCCGCGTGTAATTGGTGCAGCCCCTGAAACAGGGGAAGAGAGGACGGAGGGAAGGAGGAGGGAGCAGAATGGACCACGGGATTCGAATGAGGTGGGCTAAAGGCAGAAAGCGCGTGGCAGAACCAGACGGGCAGATCGGGCGGGTTAGCCTGTACACGGCGGATCGGGAGGGCGGGCCCAAGCGACCAGGTCGAGAAGA